TTTGCTTCCCAAGTTTCAGTGGCATTATTTTGAGCCGAAATAAGAATAGTTGCATCACAAAGTCATGAGACATGTAATATCATGTAGCTTCAGTGATATCTTGATAATGTGATGTCTTAACTCATTGACAGAGAGTCAAATTAGGAAGGAATTGTAGCAACTTTTTCACAATGTCACCGTGATATATGACGTCACATAGTGTAATTGACAAGACATAACAAGCAGCATATGCTTGAGCTGGTTTGCCCAGGTTTGATTAAAGTGAAATAAAGAGGAGTTCCCTCGAACCTTCACGTGATGTGGRACATTTTGTGAGGTGGAGGTGCAGGTGCAGGTGGCCTACCTGTGGCAAGYAAAAACTTACAAAATTCTATATGATCCATTATGAAGATACACCTGATTCAAGAAAAAAAAGTAACGAGCTTTAGCTTGAAAGTCATATCTTGTGTTCTAATGTTTCCTATGTTCTTTTAAAAATCACTAAATCTCAGTCAGGACGTTTTTGTAGTTAGGCGTACACGTAGATTGAATAAACTCCTTCGTCCACAATTTTATGCAATAAAGCATGAAGGAAGTTTAAACCAAGCCTAATAAAGCAGTTCCCCTTRGCCGTTTTTGAAATAGTTGTGAGGTTACGGCTTTAGGGAGATCATGTATTTAAGGGTGTGGTGACTAAWGGTATCTTTTAGCAACTCGATATTGTACAACAAAGCATGATGGGAGTTGCACAAACACAAAAACACAAAAAAGGTATAAAAATGGCAAGAAGCGTAGATGTCGCCAAGCTTACGCTACTATGGCTTGGCTTATTTATAAAATACAACAAAGGTCAGGTCACCTTGGTCTTCCCGTGCCGTATTTATTAAAATATAACAAAGGTCAGGTCACATCGGTCTTCCTGTGTTGTATTTATTAAAATATAAAAGGTCAGGTCACATCGTTTTTCCTGTGTGGTATCAATCTTCGTTTTCTTGGCCAGCGCTGGCCAAGAGAACGAAGGTTCGGGGTACGAGATTGGGCGTCRTATTTATTAAAAAGGCCAGGCCACAAATTTTTCCCGCGTTTGGCTGCCTTCGACTCATCTAGGTGAGAAAAAGTGAAACGTTTCAATCTTCACATAGAATATGGAAGAAACCAATAACGCTATTATAGATCAGATTGACGCAAACTCTTTAGTACATGTTCTGTCCTTTCTGAGTATCAAAGACAAGCAGAACTCTGCCCAAGTTTGTAAATACTGGAAGGACTTAGCCAGTCTCCCATGTTTGTGGAAGAGCGTTACTGTTGTTGTACCTCACTCCCCCAGTTATTGGTTCATTGCCAGCATGCGGAGGCGTAAAATAACGCGTTTTGTATGCCGTGGCTCCACGCTAGATGAGTTGGAATTAGTGATCAACAACATACCAGACATCACAAGTCTCAAAATTGATCAAAGTCGCCACATCAGCGAAGAATTTCTGAGAAGAAACGTGATCCATCTAGACAAACTGGCACATCTGAACATTACTAACTGTAGTCAGGTTGACCTTCAGTCCCTTTACTATGAGGAGTCTTTGGGAAAAGTGTTAGGTCGTTTGAAAAGTTTAACACTTCCCAAGAACATCAACGCCGCAAGTTTTCAAGCCCTTATAAAGAAATGCCCATGTCTAGAGGAGCTGGAATTTGATAAGGACTATGGGTTCAGTGGTAATGATCAGTGCCAAAAAGTCTTAGTGCAGTCATGCCCAAATCTTCGTTTTTTAGATTTAGGGTATTCTATGTGGTTTAGCGAAGAAAGCTGGAAGTTAACCTTAGAAGCACTCAATCTCAAAGCTATCAAGGTTAACAGCTGCAATGATATTGATACAGATCACATAAAGATGATTGCTGATTTGTGCCCAAATCTTGAATCCTTGGATATGTCTTCCCATTCCATGTATTCAAATGATATTGTCAATTATGTTGCCAAAAAACTGAAACATTTGAAGCATTTTTCCTTTTCTACTGCATGTTTGTTTGTTTCTGAGTTTGAATCAGGTACTGGGGAGAGTAAATACAAAGGAGAACATGATGTATTGCATGAGGTTTCTGAAATGACAGAGCTTGAATCCTTGAATATTCGTCTGAATGCTGGGATGGTTACTGGAGAAACCCTTTGTTCCCTTGTTGAGAATATGTCAAAGTTAAGGACACTTAACATTCGTCGACTTGGAAAAGTAAGCGCCATTCATGCAAGACTTATTGGCAAACATTTACCAGAACTAAATTCACTGAAAGTAGTCATTAGCTGGGACTGTGGGCCAGGCTCAAGTGGTATTGGACTTCTTTGTGCTAAACTACCTAATCTAACTGACTTACATATCATCAGTTCTAAACTAAGCAATGAAGATCTTAATGAAATGTCATCAGGTGTGGTACCAAGCAAGCTAAAATCTCTGAAGATCGATTGCAGCAGATATGTTACAGACCTTGGAATCAGCTATGTTTCTAATGGGCTCACATCCCTAACCAATCTGGAYATTTCATCATGTAATATTGGTGACCCTGGTATATCTTCAATCTCTGAGCACCTGTTACATCTTGAAGTGTTAATTCTAAATGAAAACAAGAGGGTTTCAAATCATGGTAAGTATTTCTTATATAATCATATAAAACATTTAGTAAGAAATTGCTTCTTGTACTTATCTTGGAAAAGCCAACACTTAAAGTTCTTAAGTTATGGAATGGGAAAATATTTTGTTGCATTCGATATTAGTCTGTGAACATTGTGCATGTGGAAAGCTATTTTCCCAGTGTCCAGATTAAGATGCAGCCAATTAGGGAATTAGCTTTTGTTTGATTATAATTTTGCTCAGTTTTCCCCTTTCATGTTGGTACTTGCCAACAAAACTTGCATKTCTGTACATGGTACATGTGAGAAGGCCAGAAAAATTGTATTTAATCTTAGATTAACATAATTCCTATTGATTTCTATTATAATTAAATTTTTTCATAAGCTCTTTCTTTTTCATTTTGTTTTTTCCATATTCTAAAGTAGTAGTAAATTATTTACTCTGCAGGTGCATTGATGATTGGAAAACATCTTAAGTGTCTAGAAGACTTGAGAATCAATGGTACAGGTATTGGGGACCAAGGCTTTGCTTTCATATGTAACCACCTTCCTAGACTCCACACTCTTGAAGCACTCTGCCCACTTATAACTGATGTAGGGTATTTAGAAGGTATAGTTAGTCTAAGTTCTGTAAAGATTTTACAAATTGGGTCTCACGGCATCAGTAATAATGCAGTTCAAGAATCGTTGCCACATTTGAGAAATCTTACTCAATTYACCAGCAGGAAAATTCCTTTGACACATAGTTGCATTCAGAGTATGATTAGAGTGTGTCCTTGGCTATCAAGCTTATTTATTAATTACTGCTTTCACTCAAGCGATGATCAGTGGCAGGAGACAATAGATTTATGCAAAGGGATRGGGCTATACCTTGAGTTAGGTTTTAGTTCGTGCCTTGAAGTAGGCAAGTAGAAATATGTTTGAAACTCCAATTCAAATACCTCTATGTTTTGAGTTACATATCCTGGCATCTACCTTGTTAGCAGTGACTTTTATGCATGTAACTAGGTGAGTGGTATATGTCTATAAACAGCATTTTTTTAAAAATACTTTTTTACTTCATTAGTTCACACAGTTATGTTCTCAGTTATCATGTAGTTACACTGAATATTTCACTACTACATGTATTTTTACTCAATGGTCTCTTGTATCATCCTGTTTATATTAACAATTGTTTATCAGTCAAGTTATCTTGACACTTGTTCGAGTTTGCTGTACAAATGCATAATTTTAATACCTAAGTTCCTGTGTGCAACTATGCTTAATCATGAGACTGTATTACTGAGACACAATTAACAGGTGTCTATTATATAATAGTTTATTTATGATAAACTGGTATAGTGTACTTGTTGCCTGTTTGAGATTTAAGATGTTGATGATTTGTAGAACTCTATCACTTTATTAAAGATCGACAAAATTTGGCTACCACATTGGAATTGTTCCACAGCTTCATTCAGTAGTGATTCTGTGATTTTTGTGAAAGTATGTAAAAGCAGAAAGATAAAGGAAAATTTTCTAATGCTAGACTTCTGACAGAGTAAAACTGCTCTAAAGCTATAGCAACAAAACTGCCCCCACGATCATTACATGTACATTTTTGACGTCACATTACTTGAGCATAGTTGCACCATATTTTCAGTATTTAGCTAGAGCTTATGATTGCTACTGTTTAAGGATGCTGAGTGTGACCTCCTGGGTTTTTACATTACATTCCTCTCTAGACACAGTTATAGCAACACCAAAATTCAATCTTTTTTAGCAAAATACTATATGTTTGATATGTTGCAGTTACTATATATAACAATTCTTATGTTCTGTCTTTATTTTGGTAGTGATTTACTTAATGTGATCAGAAATAGCTTCTAATGGATCCATGCATAACTTGTTCCATACATGTATGCAAAGGTGTCTCAGAAACTTTTGTTAACTCATCATATAAAAGGTTACTAGATTTTATTACATCATTGATGATGTCACATTACTATTTTCAGTAAAGCTAAAGTTAATATGAACTGAAACTATTTAAGGCTGTCAAGTGCAAGTCACTGGGTTGCTCACATCCCTATTGGTCCCAGGGCTATAGTGACACCCAAATTACTACATATTGTCATATGTTGTTGTTACTAAGAATTGTGTTTATATTGTGAGCTATAGTGATTTATCCATTGTGGTAATTAAAAGCTAAATATAGGCTGTAGTTGTCCAAGTATTTTATTTGTTCTTTATGAATTCAGGGTGCCTCAGTTTTAATTTTAAGTTTAACAATTTTAAAAAATTTAAAAAACTGCATGATTACCTGGGAAACGTTTTCAGAAATAGCTGTGTATTGATCATGTAGAGTTTTGAAAAGCACTAACAAATATGTTCGCGGCAACATAGTTATAAATTACTCAGAAGTCATTCCAGTAGTTGACTTACTTTCATGCCATACTGTATTCACCTTTTATGAAAAACGACCAGAAGACTGGGAATGAGCACATTAAACAGTCCATGTTTTTTTAATCTATTTTAACAATAAGAAAGAGTATATTTAAACTAGAGGTTAGACGTAATTCAAATCAATTTCAAATGGCAAAAAATTGGCAGAGCTACGAGGACTTGAAGCGCACCAAAAACATGAAAACGACGCTGATAAGGCCTGCTGATTTTCACTCGAACCTTTGCAATTTCAAACATCTATAATTTGTGGTCCATAAATGTAAGAGCATTGATACTTTCAGATCTTACCCATTATAATATGTTCTTTGAACGGGTAGCAATGATATATCAAACAACTTGTATACTAAGGCGTTACGATAGCCACGCCCTTTTTCATATGGTCTATGACATTGCAGGTTTACATGAACTAGAAAAAATGGATGCAATTCCTCCAAATTTGACTTTTTGTCAATCTTACCCAGGCAAACAAACCCATCCTGACATTCACTTACCAAGTCAATCACATCACATGACACATATGCCATGTCAGTCAAAACTGGTCAAAAGTATGTGACAGTAAAATATATCGTGAGTTTGGCTCATTGTCAATACAATCTGGACAAAGAAACTCATCCAACATTGTGGATGTGTACAGTTACTCATGTATTGTAATTGTACATAGCA